CGCGGCTGGTGAGTGCCGGCCGGATCAGCTTGCCGGCCGCGGGGCGCGCTCGGCCGAAGGGGGCTGACGGCTCTTTCTCCCGCCCAGCGACAGCGCGCAGGCCGACGCCGGCGCCAAGGAGTTCTGGGTCAACATGCCCAACCTGATGGCTCACCTGAAGAAGGTGTCGGAGCAGAAGCCCCAGGCGACCTATTACAACGTGGACATGCTCAAGTATCAGGTACGCCTCTCCAGCGCGTGCGGTTTTGCCCGAGGCGCCCAAGCTCGTAGCCGCGTGCAGGCGGGCGTCCCGCGGGGCGGTGAGGCGGTTGCGCGAGGCTAGGCTGCTGTCCCCTCCTCCTGGTAGCCCTGGGCTGCTGTCCCCTCCTCCTGGTAGCCCTGGGCTGGTGTCCCCTCCTTGTAGTAGCCCTGGGTTGGTGTCCACTCCTCATGTTAGTACTGGGTTGGTGTCCCCTCCTTGTAGTAGCCCTGGGTTGGTGTCCACTCCTCATGTTAGTACTGGGTTGGTGTCCCCTCCTTGTAGTAGCCCTGGGTTGGTGTCCACTCCTCATGTTAGTACTGGGTTGGTGTCCCCTCCTTGTAGTAGCCCTGGGTTGGTGTCCACTCCTCATGTTAGTACTGGGTTGGTGTCCCCTCCTTGTAGTAGCCCTGGGTTGGTGTCCACTCCTCATGTTAGTACTGGGTTGGTATCCCCTCCTTGTGGTAGACCTGGGCTGATGTCCCCTTCTCATGTTAGTACTGGGTTGGTGTCTCCTCCTCGTGGTAGACCTGGGCTGATGTCCCTTTCTCATGGTAGCCCTGGGTTGGTGTCCCCTCCCCGGGGTAGCGCTGGGCTGGTGTCCCCTCCTCGCGGCAGCACGAGGCTGGCTGAGGTCTCGAGCCCAGGGCCAGCTCTCCCGGGCTCGCGAGCTATCAGCTCCTCTGAAGCCACGCGCGGTCGTTGCACCCGTAAGACGGGCTTTCTCCCTTCACCCCCCCCGCGGAAACTAAATGTTTTTTCTGTCGTTTTGGAAGGTGTCTGCCCAGGGTATTCAGTCTACTCCATTAAACCTTGCAGTGAGCTGGCGGTGCGAGCCTGCAAGCACTGACCTCCGCATCGACTACAAGTACAACACGGAGGCAATGACGACGCCCGTAGCGCTCAACAACGTGCAGTTCCTCGTCCCCGTCGACGGAGGCGTCACCAAGCTGCAAGCCGTGCTCCCGCCTGCCGTCTGGTACGAAACGCGCCCGCCCGCTCGCGGCGCCCGTTTTGGGGCCCAGCGG